CATGAAGGACCAAAATTTCACTCTCAAAGGTGTCGTATGAATAATTCTTGCGTAAAAAATATCCATGGTTTTCAAAGATTGACCTATAACTTTGCATAGGTTCAGTCAATAATCTTGATTTCTGTAGTATCGATACTAGAAAATATGACGATTCTTTTGATATCCACCGAATCTTGAAAAGCTCTTAGTTTGATTATTTTTCATCGAAAACAATATTGTACTAAAAATTTTTGCGGCATCTGTATATCAATTCGTAAGAAATGCTAGTTGCTTCCGAAAATTAGAAAAAAACAAAATATTTTCGGTGCATTGTCAAACTTTTGTGTATGGGTCAAAAGTGACCCAGGTTGGTAGTATTAGGGTTAAAGTACATAATTACGAGCTCTTATTGTTTGAAGCTTTTTCTTTCGATTGCGTTTACTTGTGTTACGCATGATTTACTCAGTGAGGCTGCATGAAGGATGTCTATAAGATATAAAAAAAAAAACATAATTTTCTTTGTTTTTCGTTTTTTTACTATGATTATTGCAGAAAGGAAGCGATTGCCCAAAATCAAAGCAATATGCAAATTGTTTTCTTTTACTTCATTGTCAGTGATAAAGTACACACAAGGAAAAACAATTGGTTCTACTCTTTTTTTTCTGTTTGCATTGATATATTGAACATATTACAAATAATTCTGATGTTTCCATAAATTAGTTATGTTAAATATAAAATTTGAATTTAATTGTTAATGCAATTTTTTTTTCAAAATTCAGACGTCATAATATTATTCAATATCAAATATCAATTTTACAAATGAAAATCATTCTCTCTCTCTCATCATGTTTCATATTCTCTATCTAATGAAAATATTTGTCCATACGATAAAATTGTGACTAATTCAATTGAAAAGATTCTTTGACTGAGTATGCCATATTTATGATTATGATAAGTAGTAATAGGAATTATAAATGTTTGATAAGTATATTAAATAAATCCAAATACATGAGTATGAGACATGAATACTATACCATTGAAATCTAACAATTGTAATATTTATTCTTTTTATCGACAAGCATAAAACTTTTGTTCAAACGTATGTGACCAATGTATTTAACTATACTTACTTTTATCTACTCATTTAAAATTGATATTAATCAATATCTACTATGAACATATTGATAAATGTCACTTTTCAAACTAACGAGGGAACATATTTGAGTGCAGTCCCTGAAAATGAGTTCAAAAGCATTCTATCTGTTAGGGATCTCGATGAGTAGCATCTCGAATATCAATATCCTAGCTGTCCCTGTTTTGGTCTCGAAAAACGATGGTCTCTAACTTTTTCATTTTTAGGCTTTTTCTTACTAGTGGATGTATCATATCGTTGTTTGCTTTTGTCAAATTTGCAAGAACAAGTAGTTTTATTTAGAGAAAGCAACTTGATACGAGCATAAATCGATATACAAAAGCTGTCTTGTTATCACAAGTGAAGATATTAAATCTATTTTTCCAGCTTAGCTCTTTATCTACTGGGTTCCTATGTTATCGAAAAGCAATGAGTAATTGATCAGATGTATATTTGATTGAGGAACATAGATGCGATATGTTCACTCATGATAATAAGACAACTTTTGCATATCGATTTATGCTCATATCAAGTTGTTTTCTCCAGATAAAACTACTTGTTGCAAATTTGACAAAAGAGAAAAATGACATGATACGTCTACCAGTAAGAAAGAGTCTAGAAATAAAAAAGTTAGACACCCTCGTAAGACCATCATATTCCGAAGCAATGCAATGAACTTCATATAGTCATGTATGCTTCGAGAAAAAAAACCGATAAATTACTTGAGACCTTTCCCCATGCAGTAAAGCTCATAGAAAAAAGAAGCATGATCAAAAGAAAAAGAGTATGTCGAAGTACGAATTCAACTTTGAATAAATCATTCTAGAAGAAAAACGAACATTGTTTATGCAGAGATATCTACTACGATTATTTTTTTTCATCAGATCATATAATTTGCATTTCATCAAAAATGGAAAATTGATCCTTTCTATACATAGAATAAGTCGGAAGATGAATTTCATTCCAATTTTATGATAATAAGCAAATAAATACGAGTCAAGCAATTATGTTTTGACTCGTGGTGGAAGAAAAATGTGAACATAGTGTATCGAATGACAGTCTTCGCATCAATGTTGACTGTAAAAAAGTTTGAGGGCTCTTTTGCCTGATCGTACAGAAAAAGAGAGAAAAAAAAACGTTGAGTTACTATGGCATATGCTGCATCAAGGTAGAAGCCATAGTTTAGGGAGAATGAAAGTTGTGCAAGTTATTGTAATGAAGATGAAAGAACGAACAAATTGGTTAAAATAATTCATGTTGCAAAGCATACTAGAAGTTGTCGACGATTGAAGTAAAGGTGGGAGCCCTTTTAATGTTTTTGCACTGCCTGTGAACATGTATGAAATTTTTTTTTCTCGTAATAGATTATCATCAGGTATCTCCTAGTATATTCAAAAGAGTTTCGGACAAGTTATTAGCATAACGAGGCTCTAGGTAACTTAAGACCATATTCTTTTTTGACGAGTATAAACTTAAACATGAAGACTGTCGAAAAAAATTTCATAGTGTTATTCATTTGCTGAAAAAAAAAATTCTTCCTTATATTTGTTGTATCTGACTACTTATTTTAAGGCAAGTTTGAATCGTCTTATATAAACACTAGAAAAATCTTCCTTTCAAATTTTCAAATTGATTTTTGATTAAGACGCTGTCATAATATCGTGGTCATCTCCAAAGCTGCAGTATAATGTTGACCTTAGAAAATTCTTCTAGAAGAAATCCTGCCCAAATAGTATACGACTTTGTTTCAAATTGCATCTAAACATTCTAAATAGACAATCTAGTTTCTTTATATACTCTAAAATATACAATAGGAATCTTCCTTATCGGTTCATACTTAAGAAATTTTGTCAAAGTGCTCGTACCCAACAGAGAGGTCCAACTTAGATAAGTTATTGATATTTTTGCTTAAGAATATAGTTATCTCAAGTAGACCTTAAAAAGTCAATGATAAGTGCGACGAATGATCAAGAGTTTAAAAATTAGATTTTTTTCCTTGTTTTGTTTGAGTTTCGATTTCGTCAGTAGCCATCGACTATCAGGTTCTTGGACATATTCTCCTGCCTTTCATTCATTTCCGACTCCTCAAATACCGGCGAAATTACGACTAAACAAGAAGAGGAAACCAATCCGAAAGACAGTTTCGATGACTCGATATAATTTCAATCGCTGCAAGTTGATCGAAACTTGTACGAAAATTTGAATCATCAGTGATTCTTTATTTTCTATTCAATGGTGTCGTTGGAGGAATTTCTACGCACTCTGAACATATAAATAAAAAATATTTATTTTCTGAGTCAAGAACCATCATAGGAATATGTACGTATTCTAGATGAGAAGGTAATCATGATGAATTATTAGCTTTGGAATGCTCCATAATTTTCCAATTTTTGAAACTACAGTGATTTTCGGGTACTCGATAGTCAAGAACTAGTCAACGGGATTATTTCGAACTGCTAATTTGTTTTTCCATGTTCAAAACTATTTAAATAATTAGATATCCTAATCATAAATAGATCAGCTGAATGAGATTTTGTCATTATTTTTAATCCAATATTTTTTAACTACTTTTTATTATTCAAATAAATTATAATTTAATTTTTATATAAACATATTTCTTCTTGTTTGATTCAACGAAACTCATAAAAGATAGATTTGCTTTGTCAACCATTGGTAATAGTAACCCAGTCATACATCCTTGCTCTTTGTCCAGTTAAACAATAAATGGAATTGATAGATTTTCCAGGACCATTTATATGTGCTCGTCTTAAAAAGGCCGTCGAACGAGACTAATATCAACTAAAAGAATTTTTACTGTACTTCCTAAATATCACCTAACCTATTACAAAAAGTATTCTTTTGATGATTTTTATACCCTGGTCAATGATTTCAGCATCCAGTTCCGTGGATTCTTGATCAGAACGCTCAGCAAAAATATCATTTCCCGACAGAAAACTAGCATCGTCAGTAGGAGTTTTGAAACAGAAATACGATGAGCATGTTCGACGGTCAGCTCTCCTCAGTTATGATCGTTCATTACGATCACTGTGTATATAGAGACGCGCGTGGGTTACGGCTCTTTGAGCGCACACGTGCCTCCACGCCACGACACTGATAGAAAAGGTCAGTTACGCGAGGAAAAGCGTTTCTATACAGATGAATATTCAAGATCATACTTTTGACTTATTGAACAAATTTCATAAAATAAGACACCAATCACTACACTAAAATCACTATCTGTATTAAAATTACAACTCCAATGAAATTTTTTTTCTGCTACAAGCAAGTGCCGACTTGATTTTCATTCCATGTATTTTCGAAGTCATCTGATGCAGTTGAAACTTCATTTATATTCGAACTCGAATTAGACAATTCATGTGCTAATCTTACCAAAAAAAGTTGCAATTCACTCATACATAGAAACTTGTAGAAACGTGAAATTGTATCAGTTAGGACTTCTAAAATTCTATCTGTTTTCTGCTGCTTCAGAAGTAAATTGAATTGTTTATTTTCATTAACAATTAATCATTTCCTAATCATATTGATCATTGACAACTGTTTCATTGGTTATCTTGATCAACAATATCAAGCTTAAATGGCTAAAAAAAGTAAATCAAAATCGAAGACAACATCAGCAACAGAGAAAGAAACGAAACCACCGAATACAGTAAGTGAACTTGAAGATGATGAAGAATATGATTATATTACAGTTCCACCTGATGGTGGTTTTGGTTGGGTCGTTCTTGTTGCCTGCTTTGTAAGTATATCAAACATTTATTAATTATTAATTTATTTTTGTTTATTGTGCAGCTAATTAATATGATTATTGATGGGTTTCTATATGCTTTTGGAGCAATTTCTGATGATCTTAAAAAACATCACAAATGTCAAGAATGGGCTGTGTCTCTTGTTATTTCGATTGCCTGTAGTTGCTATTTGCTCAGTGGTAAATCATCAATCTACCTCATTTTTTATATTTGATTTTTCTGTTGTCATAGCACCACTCGCTTCGGCTCTATGCAATAAATGGGGTTGTCGACCGATTGGTATTATTGGTGGCATTATTGCAGCGGCAGCTGTTGCAACGTCTGTTTTTGCACCGAATATTCAGCTCATGTGGTTATTATTTGGTTTCGTTGGTGGTATTGGTATGGGTCTTGTTTATTTGCCTAGTATCGTCATGGTTGGATATTATTTCGATAAAAAACGTGCTATCGCTACTGGTAAACGAGTTCTATTGAATTTTGTAGATAATATCGTTGATTATTATTTTTCACATAGGTATCGTTACTGCTGGCACTGGTATTGGTTCGATCGTATTTGGACCTCTCTCACGTTTTTTATTCGATCGATTCGGTTGGAAAAATGGTCTTCTTATCCTTTCTCTTATTCTCTTGGGTTGTGTTATTTGTTGTATATTCATGCAACCTTTAAAACCGATTCGCAAGAAACGTGCTTTGTCTGATATCGAGTTGTCGTAAGTCTTAGTGTACTCTTTTTTTACATAATTCACATCTTATTATTATTGCAGGAGTAATGTTAATGCAGCTAATCCAACGGTGAGTTCGATGATTTTTCAAATCAAAAATCAAAATGAAAAATTCTTTTATTTTTTTCAATTTTATTTTGTCACTCAGTCTTTCATAATCGTTCGGGTTTATAGCCATTGAACGTTTGACATTTTTATTTGTCTATAATATTTTACGAGGAAGTTATTCAGAATGGATTTTTTTGAGAAAAGATATTTTGTGCCATTCGAATCGATACAATTTTCAATATAGAATTAAAATTTTATTTGAACATTTTATTTGAAAAAGTTTGCTGTTGAAGAAAGACTATGTACAAACAATACACGAATGATTTATTTTAGAAACTCTTCTAAACTCTAAACAGACGACTCTTTTGCATAAAAAATATGAAAACAGTTTTTTCTAGATAGATATCTAATGAAAGTGTCGATTGTCTTAGCCTCTTATTCATATTTGTGATTGCGAAATCTAAAATAGTTTCGTTTTTTGTTAAAGATTTCATTGTTGCAAACGTTGGATTTTCGAAAGAAAAACTATGATCTCTCTCATACTGCTTCGAAAATCTTATTTCAGCTTTTAACTTCAAACTTTTTAAAACAAATTTCTTCATGACACTACTACATCGTAGCAGGTTCACTTATGTTGATAAGCCCAATCCTCAAAAATATATAAAAATAAATTTAATGTATCAATTTTACATAGTCAGGTTCAATATTGATCTATTAGAATAGGAGATGTCAAAACGAGTGAAAATTTTACGATGAAATAGTTTTATAGAGAATAGTTTTTCTGAAAAATTTGACATACAATTTTCCAGATGATCTGAGGAAGATTATAGTTTTCCATTAGAAATAACAATTCTTTAGCGCTCGATGCATAATTCTTTGAGATTCTCTTATCAATATAATGAATTAGATTATCCTAAGGTAATGTTTAATTAAGTAACACTATGCAGCCTGTTCCAAAATCACTTTCACAACTCATCATGTGTACGATTGATTCATAGACAGATCTTACCTGTATAATGATTGTGCAAGGTTAAATAGGATGCTCAACATTCAATGTAATTATTTCAGTTACCAGCGAAGACTTCCTGCCAACATTCTGATCCTCATTTGAAATGGTTATCATTTTATTTTTTGTAGGTAACAGTTCCTTTGCTCAGTGAGAAGAAGGAGGTCGATGATAATGTTGTATCATCATCTACACATCATTCACATGAGCATGTGGATATCTGTTTATCTCCGATGGAACAGCGATCTCGAGCTGATACAACTGCTTCAACCAGATCAAGACGAAGCATCAAAGCTGAAGACGCTGTTCGTCCGTAAGTTTTTTGTCTTTTTCTTTGAGTCGGTTCAGTTCGACTATGATATAATATCAGTTTTCTCGAGCAAAAGAACATTAATTTGAGGCTTATATCTAACTTTACAAGAAGCCAAAAATAAAATTGATCTAAATATTCTTATTGTATAAAGCGAAAAAAAACGAAGTACATAAGATTGAAATTAAAACTTGCAGAAATTTTTTTAAGACAATGAACTAGATTTGATATATGCCTATTACTGTTCATAAACATTATTGCACGTTTCTCTTATCATTTAATCTCT